AATAAATAAAGTTTGCCAGAAGATCAGAAAAGTAGAATAGCTACACTTGCTAGCATTACGAACAGGGCATCAATGACATGTAAATTTAATCCCAGTAGCTACACTAACTTGCCATAGAAACCATGGGATAATAGTTCATACCCTTAAACCAAAATTTGAGAGGATTCTAAAACAGGAAGAGGCAGTTCTCAGTTTCAGCCACATCCTGAGATTACTGGAGGCAGGATCGCCATTTTGAAAAAGTAAGAGTCAGTGACTGACTACTTTACTTTTCTGACCTCCAGGTTAAACCCCAATTTCTGTCTCTGAGTTTTTATTAATCATGCTAATTTGGATATCAGGGTCTCAGATTAGACTCCATTGATCCACCTGTCTGTTCTTGTGCCAATACCAAGCTGTTCTATAGGAGAGTTTGAAGTCAGGGATGGTGATGCATCTCAAAGTTCCTTTATTGTCAAGGATTGCTTTGGCTAATCTGATGGAGGTGGGTCTTGTATCTTATCTGTTGCTTTCATTGATTAAACAAATAAAGAAAACTGCTTGGTCTGATAGGACAGAAAATTCGGTAGGCAGAGTAAACAGAACAGAATGCTGGGAGAAAGAAGCTGAGTCAGGCAGTCGCCATGATTCTCCCACTCCAGACAGACGTGGGTTAAGATCTTCCCTGGTAAGCCACCTCGTGGGCTATACAGATTATTAGAAATGGGTTAGATCAATATGTAAGAGCTATCCAATAAGAGGTTATAACTAAAGGGCCAAGCAGTGTTTACAAGAATACAGTTTCCGTGTCATTATTTTGGGTAAAGCTAGCCGGGGGGAGGGAAGTGGCCTGCCGCTGCTCCTTCTACACTAGTCTGTTTTTTTTTTTTTGTTTCGTTTTGTTTTTCTGTATGAATCTGAGTATTGTAGTATTGTTCTTTAAAGGTCTGTGAAGAATTGTGCCAGGATTTTGATGGGGATTGCATTGAGTTGTAGATAGCCTTTCATAGTACTGCCATTTTTTACTGTGCTGTTCCTACCTATCCAAGATCATGGGAGATGTTTCCATTTTCGGATATCTTCTTCAACTTCTTTTTTTCAAAGACTTAAATTTCTTGTCATGTAGGTCTTTAACTTGTTTAGTTAGAGTTACTCCAAGATATTTGATGCTTGTGGCTATTGTGAAGGGTGATGTTTCTCTGATTTCTTTCTCAATTCATTTTTCATCGTATATAGAAGGGCTACTAACTTTTAGAGTTACCCTTGTATCCTGCTACATTACTGAAGGTGTTTGTTAGCTATAGGAGTTCCCTGGCATAATTATTTTGTCACTTATGTATACCATCATATCATCTAGGGATAGCAAAAGTTTGACTCCTTCCTTTCCAATTTGTATCTGCTGGTTATCCTTTTGCTGTCTTATGGCTTTAGCTAGAACAGCAAGTACAATAATGAATAGACATGGAGAGGTTGAACAACTTTGTTGCATCAGGTTTTTAATCTGACTCCAAAATGCCCTCCACTTCCATTAGTTTCTTTCAGTACTCCCCGCCTGATTGCTCATATCTGCATAGCCCTAATCCTAACAAAATATAACCCACCCTAACAAAACCTACCTGGGGAGATCCATGTGTCCCCCCATGAATATTCCATGTTACCTAGTCTTTGGGTCTGTGGATTATAGCATAAGTATCCTTTGTTTTGCAACTAAGATCCACTTATGAGTGAGTACATACAATGTATTTTCTTGGTCAGGGTTACATTACTCAGGGTCATTTTTTCTAGTTCCAGCCATTTGCCTTCAAATTTCCTGGTATCCTTGTTTTTTTTTTTTAATGTAAAGATTTGTTTTATTTCTATTGGGGGAAGGGAGAGGATAGATATAACTGTTATCCAATTTTCTGTCCACCGTGTACACACATACCCACACACATACATATACCTACACACCCAAAAGTTGCCCCCCAAAAGCAAAAACCACCCTAAAACTCTATCAATACTTCATATTTTGACCAAAAGAATAGATCCTGGGAAGTGCAAAATGCAAAATCAAATGACTGAGAAATGCTGATCAAACAGCATTATTAATATACAAAATATTTATAGTACTGAACTAGCAGCAGGTGATGTTCTCCATGTCTGTAAAACTTTGGAACAAAAGAGCTGATTGTTAAATCTAGCCCATGCCAGCTTCCAAAACCCAGAGGATTTTAGTTAGCTTCATTTTTTGATGCTTCATCAAAATTTTCTACGAGATCTGGAACATCATCATCTTCTTCATCAATGTCTTCTGGTTTTGTTGCTTTACTATCCAATACTTGCAGTAAGAACTGCTCAGCTAACTCTTTAAGGCTTGTTAAGCTGTCAGCACCAAGCTGACGTAGTATTCCAGGAAGCATTTCTGTGATTTGTTTGGCTTCTGCATGACCAGTAATTTCAAAGGTGTTAGTGGAGAGGGAAGCTTGGACTTTGGAGCTGTTGAAATGAATAACTGTCCCATCATCTTTAATCATGTTCACCTCTTCAATACCAGCTATATTGTTCACATCCAGTTTCTTTAGAAAACTCTGAAGCTTCTTGTCATCAGCAGTAGCTGTCCTGTGAGCCACCTTCTTCTTTCTGCGAGCTGTACCCTCGCCCCCTATCCGGACCTGAGCTTGAAGTTTGGCTAACTTTTCTTGATTCATGCTCTTGGTAAATCTGCAGCAGGGAGGGTCCTCCAACACCAGCACGCGGCAAGAGCAATATGGCTGCCTTAGCTGAGTGGTATCCTTGTTTTTAACAGCTACTTCATACACCATTGTATAAATGTACCACATTTTCTTTATCCATCACGTACACAAGACCCTGCAATACCACTGCTGATCATACACCCAAATGATGCTCAGTCATACTAGAAAGACACTTGCTCAGCTATGTCCATAGCAGCTTTATTTGGAATAGCCAGAACCTCAAAACAACTTAGATGTCCCTCGACTGAGAAAAGACTGAAGAATTATTTTTATAAGAGGAATTATTTTTTTTAAAAAGAGTTCCCTTGATCATGGCATTTGTTCATAGCATTAGAAAAGTGAACTAAGATATACTGGATAATAACCTCAAAAGAGCATTCAAATACATGATTGCTGCATATGGTTATAAAGAAAGGAGTCCAAAGCACTTGTGAACGTTAGTGACCTTCACATTAATATTTCTGAGCACCAAATGCTTGGCATCTTTACTGCAGCATAGGCCCTAAGATAATACTCCATATGTAAATGTTATGATGATACATAGGGCAGCATCTGGCCATCCTGCAAAATCAAAGTATCAGTTCTAGAAGTATATGAAATATCAAAACAAAAATGGAAATATTTTAGAGTTTAAAAAACAGGCATGTGAACATTTTAGGATAAGGTACGAGTGACAATGCACAAAGAATAAAAGCCTAAGTTGTTATCAGTGTAGAAAAAAGTTTGATTCAAATTATAAAAGGGTGTTGTGACAATATTGTTGAGTGAGTTTATACCTATGAGTCTGCATTTTAAATTATATATATATATATGGAAATAAAATTAAAACTATTGAAATGCCAGATTCAGTTTTTAGTATTTTAGACATTACAATGATTCATGATATCTTTCATTTGATTAGAGAGCCAATTTCAATCTTAAAATATGCATATTTATACTAATATAAAACAGATACAACTGGGAGGAAGCTGAGCTTGGCAGTTCTTTCTAGCTGCAGATTCAACTGCAGAAACCCTCCCTCATTCCTTCTCTTCCTTCTCCATCTCTTGTTCCTATCTCTTCCCTCCATCCCCTCCCCATCTCCTTCCTTCATCCTCCCATCTCCCCATCAATACCAGCCATCCCCTCCCCATGTGCCCTTCCATTTTTTTCCATCCCTTTTGTATGTCTCCCTCCTTCTCCATTCATCTTCTCCTCCCTTTACTTCCTTCATTGATGGTGAGTTTCCTTGTGCTTTGTTCCAGTGTAATTCAAATTCTCTTCAAAGCTGACCTCCTTTCTTCCCAATATAACCAAATGTAGTTTAAATGTCATTCCTAGGAAGTTGCAATATCAGTTTGCTGAGAGGAGAAGAGAAGATGGTGGAAGCATAGATATATAAAAGATGACTAATAACATGATAATAAAAGGAATAAATGGTGAAGTCAGGAGAAGGAAAGAAAAAAGTCTTGAAGGGAATCTAGAAGGTCTGATAACCCATTCATTCCTTCTTTTATTTCCTCTTTTCTTCTCCTTTTCCCTTCTTCCCTCTCTTTTTCTCTTTATCTCTCCCTCTTTTTCTCTCTCCCTGTGTTGTTATTAACTCTATTTCTTGAGCTGTGATCTTGGAAGTCTACAAAGGGCCTTCTGCTTCCTCTTTCTCTATTTCTCTCTCTCTCTCTCTCTCTCTCTCTCTCTCTCTCTCTCTCTCTCTCTCTCATACACCCACATACATATACATGTGTTTATATGTGTGTGTATGTATATAGGAAGAGAGATAGATGCAAATGGCAACTCTGTTTTTCCCTCTGTTGTCTTGATTTCATGTTCTGCTTTGCTTCTAAAACTCCAATGTCTTTATTCTTTATGCTTTTCATATTCATAGTGTTTGTCTTGTAGCCAGAACTATGGAAGATTCAAGAGCATTTTGAAGAAAATAACCCACAATTCTGTCACTCTGTAAGAACTATTTTCATTTTCTGGTGTTATCATGCAGACTCTGTGAGTGTGCACTGATTTGTACAACTCCAATTCTCAGGCACAAGTGAACTGGTTGTTTTCCTCTGTGCTGTTTCTTGAGCACACTTTCTGTATTGTTTGACAGTTCAACATACCTTTCATCCATACTTTAATGGCTGTATATCCATCAAGTTGGTGTGGTTTATCATTCTCCAGTTGGGATGTTTGATCTTTTGATATATTTTTGTTTGTTATTCATAAAAGGTAGAAATGGGTGTTTCATGCACTACTGAGTCTCTCTAAAAGTTTCCAAATTTACCAATTTTTGTGTTAAATATGGTGTAAACAGAGAATAGGACCTCGATTAAACAAACACATTTGCATACCTAATATATATCAATCCCTTCTGTGATTTTGCACAGTATGCACCCTCACTCTGATTTGAAAAGCCGATATTGAAAAGCAATAATGTAAATGACTATTATCTAGTATAATTAACTTCATTTAGGAATGAGAAACTGTAAGCGTAGAGTAGACTTTTGGTATACACTAGATATATTAATAGATTATAAACAGAAATGAGTCTCTATCTCAGCCCTTTGTACTGGACTCTCTTGATTTCTAGTTCTGGGAAACAATGAATCATATTGCCAATTCATAATATGTGATTACAAGTTTTATTTGATATTATTTGTAATTAAAAACATAGGTATTAAATTATCTCTTTATATATTCATAATATGTGATAGATATGTACATATAAGTATATATGTACTAGATCAAAATAATCAATTTCTTTTCATTTAAGTCCTATAAATATAACAATATGGAAATGTGGTAGGGTAATTTTATGTGTTTTAACTGAAGTGCTGATTTTGCATGAATATTTCTTAGTGTCTAATTGTGTACAACAGAAAAGGCCTTGCCTCAGCTTGATATGCCATGCTTTGTTGACTCTCACAGGAGGCCTTACCCTTACTGATGAGTATATAGAAAGTGGGGAGAAATGGGGTGGGGGAGAGAAAAGGAGGTGAAGAAGGAGGGGAAACTGTGGTTGGTATGGAAAATAAATTTTTAAACTCAATAAAAATAACAACTTGCAAAACGAAAAAAATAGGATGAGAAGAAAAATGAAAAGAAACATAAAATGAAGGATTGTTGAACATGAATGATCTCATACCAACTATATCTTCCTATGCAATGGACCTTCATTAGGAATGTGCCAGGCAGAAAACCTTGTATTTAACACTAATTCCTAAGACTGAATTGTTTTCATCCTATAGATACCCAAGTAAAACCACAGAAATAAGCAAGTACAAAAGAACATAAGGGAGCCATAGGATCAAGCACTTTCAGAGATTTGTAAGCAATTTTTAGAGCAATGCAGGTATATTTCATGCATGGTGCTGGTTTACATCTAAGATGCTTTAATGTAGGCTGCCCAGGTATCTGAGTAGATGAAGGTGCTTCGTACCAAGCCTGATGACCTGGGTTTGATCCCTAGAATGCACATGATGACAGGAGAAACCTGACTCCTAGTAGCTGTTCTTTGACTTCCACAATTGAACTATGATGCACATGTGCCTGCCTACACAATACATACACACATGAAAAATATAAGTAGAAATATAAGTAGAAATTAAAATAAAATACTATATTTTTCAAAATATTGTAAACAAACAGTTTGGAGAGCTAAATACACCACACAGGCTGTGGGTATGCAACCTTAGAAAGACACATTAAATAATACAATAAAGATAGCTAATGTCCTTAAAAAAATGTCAACTATGATAACAAGTAAGATTCTAAAGGGAAACTGGACCTAAATTAAATTCTGTAGGAGACTGGGATCCCTGCAAAGCCTTTATTTGTACTAAAATGTACACATAGGGTTACCATCTTAGGAAATAAAGTAGAAGAAACAGAGTAAGCCACAGGGAGAAGCTTACCAGTAGGAAACTCAATCAGCCTTCAGAACACTCTGAAGTAAAGATAGTCCCTTAAAAATCAAAGAAAGGTGGGGCAGAAGGGATGAAAACAGAGACAGAGAGAGTTCAGCAGCATACCTTGGTGTCAAATAGAAGAAGGAATGAAGAGGAGTGGTCTGTTGGCTTGTAATCCTTGAGTGGGCCTATGGTTAAATATGTAGCAGAGACCTCATTTTCAGGTAACTGGATCCATATTTTCATTCCTAAAAGCAGGTCTGAACAATAAATCAAAATGGCTTTTATGTAGAAGGAGCAGCAGACTGCATTCCTGCCACCCGGCTCCCAGCCACCTGGCTAGCTTATGCCCCAAAATAACAAAACACAAATTGTATTCTTTTAAACACTGCCTGGCCCATTATATCTAGCCTCTTCTTGGCTAACCTCATATCTTGCTTAACCCATTTTTAATAATCAGTGTAGCACCACGAAGTGATGTCTTACCAGGAAAGAGTCTAGTGTATGTCCATCTTGGGCTGGAGCTTCATCGTGTCTGCCCTGGAGAGGAGAGGCATGGCATCTGAGCTCACTTTCCTTCTTCCCAGCATTCTTGTTCTGTCTATTCCACCCACCTAAGTGTTGGCCTATCAAATGGGCCAAGGCAGTTTCTTTATTAACCAATGAATCATCAGCTTTTATAATCCCCATGAAGAGGAGAAAAATTCTATTATTTGTTATAATAAATCTTCTATTACTTATAATTTCAATGGAAAAGGGGAAATTTCTATTATTGCTTTAGAATTTCACTCATGACTATGTTTTAATCAAATCCACTGTCTGTTTCCTCTCCTCCTATTGATTCCCTCATCTTTGCATCAGCATTTCCCCTCCCAATTTCATGTGTTCGGTTTAAACCCACTAGTTTCTGCCTTTATGTTGTGCATGAATGTTAGATGGTCTACTGGAGCCTGAGCAGCTTCTCAGGGGGCATAACCCTGAAGAAAACTAACTATGGCTCTGCCAGTACCCATCAGTTGCCAACAGCAGCTGTTCAGCTAGAGGTGGCACTTCCTTTCTTGATAAAATCCTCTGACCAAAAAGGAGCTCCAGGGAGAAAGGGTTTATTTCAGATCACACTGAAAGCAAAAGGAGCTTAAAGTGGT